CCGCCAGCAACGCCCCCTGGCGAGCATCCAACTCGAACCAAACATCAGCGCGGCCGTCGCCATCGTCGCCGCCAGAATCACAGGAGAACGCATGTTACAGTCATCATCGCGCTGAAGGCGCGCCAGCCGGCGTCGCTGCACATCGACTCTCTGCCGCAGCCGAGTGCCGCGAGCTCCCAGCAGCATTCGTCGACAGCTGTCAAGAGCAACACCGCCGAAATGGCCCCTGAAAGGGCCGCCAGGAGAGCCGCCGAATGGGCCGCCGACGTCGCCGCCGAAATCGCCCACGACATTGCCGCCGAAATCGCCGCCCGACATCGCCGCCGAAAGCGCGGCCGAAAGCGCCGCCGAGCTGCCGAACTTGCAGCAAAAATAGCCGCCGAAATAATTGCGAACTCCGCTAAAGTAACCGCCGAAAGCCAGCCGCCGAAATCGCAGCCGAAATTCAGCCGCGGAAATATCATTGCCCTGTTCCAAGCGAGTCACTTCTTCGTGAAGCACGACGACGCCGCGGACGCCAGGCGTAGAGCACAATCCGGAACTTCGGCGGGAATTTCGGCGGGAATTTCGGCGGCGATTTTGGCGGCAATTTCGGCGGCGATTTCGGCGGCGATTTCGGCGGCAATTTCGGCGGCAACTTCGGCGGCAATTCCGGCGGCCTTGCCGAGGGCCGCTCGGCGGCGCTTAGGCTGCAATTCCGGCGGCCCTTTCGACAACTCTGTCGGCGGCGCTGTTTTTGCCAACTGTCGACAATGGCTGCCGGGAGCTCTCGGCACTCGGCGGCCCCGGCAAGCCCTGAGAGGGCCCTCGAATGGCATCGCCAGACAGAGTCCGCGAAGTAGCTCAAGCCACGCATAACTGGCGCGCGATAGCATGCGCAACGTGCAAAGTGAATGCCTCGCAATATGCGCCAGCGCGCGCTAAGATGTGCCCGGGAACCACCGCGCGGCAGGGGGGGCCTGCACGCTGGGAACATAAAAGAACTTCAGATCGTCGTTTGGAATGGATTTCCGCGCGCGCCCTTATACGTCTCCAAAAAGCCACTACGATAAACGCAAAACCTGCTATGTTGGACCAGCTGCCTTACAAGAAACGCTTCCGATGTAAAATTTTCCGACGGCGGGGTTATGAGGGAGCGACGGAGGCGGGCACGGGGGCCCTCGGTTGGGCCAGCGGCGCCGCCGTGCGAGGGACATCGCCGCCGTTGCCTCAAAATGCACGCCGCGGCCGTGGCACGCGCGGCCCTGGGAATGCCGGCGCGGGCGCGGCCGCGTCGAGCGGGCCCAGGACGTCGCCGCGCGCGCGGGCCCCCCCTGCGACAGCTGGTAATGGTCTCGCCGACAGGGCGCATACACGTACGCTCATTCGCCGTAAACGCAAAATGCTGACATGTAAAATCTATAGTTGTGGGAGCTGGGGTCGGTTTCCCAGTGTTCAATCATGCTGGACGTGCTCCACTTTCCATGCCCGAAGGCCAGACTGGGGGCGGACACAGGGAGACTGATCACGGCCTTCGACCTCTCGCGCCTATCGGCGGCGACCTTGTGGCCGCATCTGGAGAGGCTCCTCCTGGAGGCGGAGCAAATGGAGAGGGTGCAGGAAGGCTGCGCCGCGGGAACATCTTGAGCGGCATGCTGGCGACCCTTTCGACAGGTTGCAGCGCTGAGCGGCAGTGAGAGGTTGATATCGCTGATTGAACAAGGACTGGTGCCACCAGACGTGTGGGAGAGCGGCCACGTCATGAGCGATAGCTCAGCTGCGCTGCCCCGCATGCCGCTTGAGGAGCTGCGAAAGCAGCGCCCCAGCAAAGACCGCGGGAAGAGGAGGAATGGGGCGAGGACTGGGAGGGGGTAGCTGTTGAGCAACGCTCGGAACCCGCGGGAGTTGGGCCCCAGGCGTCAGAGTCTGGGCCTACCCAGCGTCATGACGGCCCTTACCTTGAGAGCCTGATCATGGTCAGGAATGTGCCCCAGCGAATAACGTACCTCGAGGTTGGAGGACGTGTTGTGGTCGCGTTCGTCAGAGCGGGGGCAGGGGAGAGCTCAAGTTGCGTGCATCGGTCCCCTTGAGTCTGGCCCCCCCCCGCACGGCGCACATAGCGGCGTTATAGGGGCGCTCAACTGGGCAGCGCGGGTGTTTCGCCCGACGGGGGGGCCGCCAAATGAACAAACGCGTTCGTTGTACACCGCTCGGTGATGCTTAGCAGCCAGCTTTCCTTCCCATCGAAGAGTTTCCAAATGTAAACGTGTACCTGCGCTGCCGCAAGCTAAATCTGATTATCAGTTCTTGGATCGGCGCCGACTGGAGGGACTCAGCGCCGGTCCAAGAAACCTGCGCTCAGCTCAAAGAAATTAAGCGTATGCCCTTTTGTTCTTCGACCGAAACAAAGACACGAGGGCGACCACCTCCACCCTCGATCCACGGCCTCGGCGACGACGACAACGACGACAACGACGACGACGACGACGACCGTCGACGGCGGTGGCGACGACGGCGGCGCCTCTGGTCGAGGCGGCGCCGCGGCCGGCGGCGTCTGGGGCGGCTGCGCGCTGGAGAAGCCGCCAGCGCCCTGGCCAGGCGCCGGCCCGTTGGCGAGCAGAGGAGGGGGCCTTGTGGGGTGCCTGGTGCAAGCTGGTCAAGGGCCCGTTGCTTTTATTCGCAATAGCGCCCGCGACGGTCCCCGCCTCCCCCCCCCTCTTTTAGTCACGTCGCGGTTCGCGCGGGCGCCGTCTGGGAATCCCACCATCCCTCTGGGCGTAGGTGGTTTAACGAACTTTGCCTTCACTGTGTCAAAGCTCCCTTCTTCGCCCGCTCGAGAGAGGGGTTCACCGTGGGTTCACTACTGTTCGACATTAGTATACACACCTTCGTCTATGCGACCGGAAGCCGACCAAGAACAATGAGGACACCATGTTCACCCCAGACCATCCCCATCAAAAACCATGCACGATGCACTCTGCCTCCACATTTAAAGCATGCGTGGCCAACCCGACGCGCCCCCCCACAACATCCCTGTTGAAGAACAATGTACAATACACTTTGCAACAAAGTCTTGGGTCATGTTCGTGAGGTCCGCGAACACTTGGTTTTGGTTTTGACATGGACGGCGGGGGGGTCAACGCTGTGCGCAGGGCTACCATCCCTGTGCAAAAATTATACAACATGCACATCAGGGCCAAATCTGTATCGTGCGCGGCCACCCCGCGATCACTGTCAAGTGGCTTTTGGCCAGGACGGCGGGGTGGTGGCGTATGGCATGCTGTGTGCAGGCCCACCAGACACAATGATGGGCATTGGTTTTCGACAGCGATGGTGGGGGCCGACACGTTTCCCGACGTGTGCTGCCACGTGCGCAGGCGCACCTGACACACTCCGCACGTGCCCCGAATGTGGCGGCGCACGTGGCGCATGTGGCACACCAGGCGTGGACACGCTGGGGCCCAAGGGTGCCTGGCGCGTGTGGCGCGCCTGGCAAGCGTGGCGCGCCTCGCCCCAGCGTCGCGTCCGTCCAAAGAAGACCGCTGAACATGATCAGGTTCGGATGCTATTTGTGTGTTTGAAGCGCGGGTGGGACTGAACTAGACGGACTGTTACCTAGGAGGGTGCCGTGACACTTCCCTTACCACCCACCCACCCCCAAACTCTGGGCATGGGAGGGGGGCCCAGGTGGTCGGAGCGCACAACACTGCGCAATATGGCTCCCAGAGGGCCTCAGAAAGCCCAAGATGGCCTCCAAGCTGGCTCAGTATACTTCCAGATGGTTCAAGTCAGCTTCCGAGAAATATCCAAGAGGCCTCAAGACGGCCCCATGAAGGTTCCAAGTGCCCTCCGAGCCATCCGAGGATCCCCACCAAAAGGCCAACATCCTTTCATGCCTACGGGGAATCAGTGTGTGTTGTCGTCTTTCCTTTTCGCTTCCGATGAGCTCGCGAGGCCTTTATATGGTTCCAACGCGGCCCGGGTGATCTCCTGGAGGAGCCCCAAAAGGTCCAAGAGGGCTCCGAAAACGCCCCAAACATTATGCTTGAGACTCCGCGGGCGGGAGCTGAATTCATCACCCCCCTCACGTTGAGCCACGGGGCCCAGGGCGGCCCCCAAAAACCTTCCTGACTCCCCCAAAGAGCCCCAAGAGGGCCCCAACATAACCCCAAGGGATCCCCCAAAAGGCTTCACGAGTGCCCGAAGAGGCTCCGCGAGGGCCCTCAAAATGTGGCGACTGCTCTAGCGCCGCGCACTTTCGATTTGAAAACGTTGCAAGAGCTTCACGGATTGAGGGCGGCTCGTTTGCAAAATGTGGATCTCGCCTGAGCGCCGCGCGCAACCGTTTCAAACGCGCGCAAAAGCTTCGCGGACGGAGGCCAGTTCGTCTTAAACATGTGGCCATCGCCTCGGCGTCGCGCATTCTTTGAAAGCGAGAGCTTCACGGCTTCAGGGCGGCTCAATTTCAATTGTTGCCCTTCGCCTTGGTGCGCCGCGCTTTCGTTTCAACAGCTCGCAAGCGCCTCGCGGATGGAGGGCGGCTCGTTCTAAAAATGCTGATATCGCCTCAACGCCGCGCACGTGCGTTTCAAAAACTTGGGAGGGCTTCGCGGATGTAGGGCGGATCGTTTTCAAAATGTGGCTCTCGCTCTAGAGAGCCCCAAGGTGGCTCCGATAGACCTCAGAGAAAACGCGTTCAAAATGGTTGCGTTTTTTTTCGGCGTGCTTCTACGCTGCCCTGATCGCGGCGACTCGCCTGGCAATCTGTTTCGGCATGGGCTGGCGGGTGTACTTTTTGATTACCGACCGCTAGCGGGCAGCCGCGCGGCGTCGACAAACAAATGAAACCAGGCCTACGTGCAGGGCGAGAGCCTAAACAACAGCTGGCAAGCGTGGAAGAAGACAGAACAAAGGAAACATTGGCAGCCGACGAATGCCGCGCACCTCATAAACGAAAGACCAAGCCTAGGTGCACCAGGTACTCGCCGTCCACGAAATATGTGCCCAGCAACATGCAACTGCATGCAGCCTCCGCTCGGCGTCGGTCAGATGCCGTGAGTCAGACGGCGCGGGCCCGCCAATAGGACGAGCGTGGAACAAATGCGTCCGTGGCCCTGCGCCCCAATATCCCAACCGCCAGATCGAGCCAACGGGGGGGCATGGCCAGGAGGGGCACGGAGCTCCTGTCGCGAGAGCCGAACAGAAGTCCGAAAGCTGCCAACCCAGCCCGTCCATCAGGGCCATCGCGGCACAGCCGACGCAGAGCGAAGGACACACGGGCCCGCGCGCCCCGGGGGGGGCGCGGAGGGCCTGCGACGTGCCGTAGAGGGGGGGGCGGCGAACAGCCGCAGAACATTGTGGTGAACGAATGGGGTTGCAGCTGAAAGCCGCGGAGAATGGGCGCGCACCTATGGGGCGGAGTCGCAACTGACTGCCGCGGAGCATGTGCAGCCAAGCCAGTTTCCCAGTCAGTTTGCCTCGACGCCCCGGGGGGGCGTCGGCGCGACGTCGAGGCAGTTGCGCGCGCCGAGAGGGGGGGCGGCTGGCGGCCGCGAAGATAGTAAGCGCGCGTGAGTTAGCGCCCCTGGTGGACGCGGTAAAAACAGCCACGTCGGGAGGGGCGGCGGCCAACAGCCGCGAAGGTAGCAACAAGAAAATCAGGCATGAGCATCCCCGCGGCGGGCCGTAGAGCGGGGGCGGGGGGGCGCAGGCCCTGGCCCTCCAGGGGGGGGGCGCCACGGGCGCGGGCAGTGCGCGGGGCAGCGCGGGGCTGCAAAGGGGTCGCCGCAAGGGCTCTAGCAGTGCCTGGGGGCCACTAGGAAGGGGCCAATCTCCGAGCCGCCTACGGCGCGCCGGGGGGGGGGCGGCAGTCATCCAGGGGGAGAGAGGCCGCAAAGTAGCGCCCCGGAAGGGGTTCTAGGGCGTAGGACGGGCCAACGGCCCCAGCTGGGTACGTCCAAAGCGGCAATGGCGCACGCAACAAGGCGCGCAGGAGGGGCCGGCCAGCCCCGTGGGCAGGAGGGGCGGGGCTCCGAGAGGCACCCCGAGGTATAGTGCGGGGCGTCCACGAGTGCCGTAGCGTGACCGCCTGAGCGATCTGGGCGAAACTTGAGAGGACGCCCAGGGCTGGCGCGAGCCCGCTGCCCTCGTGGGTTCCGCCGTTCTTGTCCACCGGGCGTCGCTGTCTTCGCGCGGCCCTTTGCCTTTGGCCTTGCCAGGGGTGCAGTCTTAAATAAATATGTGCCAGTCTTCAATTATACTGAATAAGTTTCGTTGTTTCCCCCTCCGGTGTAGCCACTGCACACTTGCAAGTAACGCGCTTATCCCGGGGCTCGTACATTATTCCAAGGAAAAACCAATGGGCACCCGTCTGCGCCCATGGCCCCTGGTCCACAACAACAGCGGCCCCCGCCCGGTGTTTCCTCGCAAGGAAATCCCCAATCGCGACCTCGCGCGGGCCCCCTCGCAGCTCGCGCGGGAATCGCGCTCTCGCGCGGGGCGCTTTCGCGATTCATGCAGGGCGTACGCTTCAACGACTCGCCTGTTCGACCTGGCCGCCTGGGCCCGCCCCCCCGACCCGCCGGCCAGGGCCCGCCCGCCCGACCTGCCCGTCTCTCGCCCTCTGCCTTAGGGGGCTGCGCGAAATGCACTTTGCCAACAAGTCATATTTACGCACAAGGGGGTGCGATCGCAGGCGAAGAGGGCGGACGTCGAAGAATTGAAATATACGCGTTGATTGGCACGCGGGAAGGTAAGAGCGACCAATTTTAAAGCTACGGTTGTTGTTGCTGCTGCTGTTGAATTCTCGCTTCTGATAAATTCGCCGGCCCAACGGGCCAGGGCGTGCTAAGATCTCCGGTAACAGGTAAACAGTATTTCTAGTTCGCGCGCGCAGGGCGGCCCCTGGGGGTCCCCGAACGAAAAAAAACCCGGGCGATCCCCGGCAGATCCCCGGCAGACTAGGGGTCAGAGATGCCGGAATTCTGTTTCGGAGCCCAAGAGGGCTCCAGATCGCCCCAAGAGGGCCCCAAGAGGCCCCAAACATGGTCCACAAGGGGCCCCAGACGCCCGAAGATCGCTCCACGACGCCCAAGATGGCCTCCAGACGGCCCAAGAGGCCTCCAAGATGGCCCAAGAAGCATCTAAGAGGCCTCCAAAAAGGGCCCCAAGAAGCAAAAATCGTTGATTTTCCATTGGTTTTTGAAGGTTTTTGGCGTTCTCGCATTTTCAGCTTCCGACGCTCCAAGACGCCCCAAGAGGCCCCCAAGACCGCCCCAAGACGGCCCGAGAGGTATCCAAGAGGGCCCCCAAACGGCCCATGATGGCCCCAAGACTGCCCAAGAGGCCTCCAAGACGGCCCAATACACCCCCAAGACGGCTCCAAGAGAGGGCACAGACGGGGGACCCGAACGGGCATTTCGACATCTTTGCCAGAAGAGGCCCCCAGGAGGCCCCAAGAGGCCCCCAAGAGGCCCCAGGAGGCCCCAAAAACACCTCCAACAGGCCCCCGAGAGGCCTCCCAAGAGACCCCACGAAGCCTCCCAAAGAGGCGTCTTGTCCACGACCAGGGTTGGCCCAAAAAATAATCCA